AACTGTTAAGAACACAGTTTATTGGAAGAACTGTAGATTTTAACCAGTTTATGGAGTAGTCAGAAATTCTTGAAAAGGAATTTATTAAATTAATAACCTGAGATAGAGGGCTTTCTGAATGTTGAAGAAAAAGTAGGACAAACCCTTCGTACAAACAAAAGTAAGAGAAATTTAGGATAAGAATACGAACATGTTCTTGCATGAGGCCCATTATCTGTTACTCCTCAAACAGAATAAATTAATCATACCTCTCTCTTTACCTGAGGACTGGACAACGTGGAAGAAACTGTTAAATATTTACCTATTTAGCTACTTTATTAACTCCAGTCTCTTTGTTTGGTGAAGTGATGAATCAGGAAGTCTGAGACTCAGCASATTTTTGTCTGATTCATCCCAATCAGCATAAAAAAGAAAAACACATTAAGGCTCAACAAGTGAGCTAACAACAGATACGTATTTTCATAAAATTTATTACATTGCATTTTACTGACAAAGTTCCATTCTGAGACCTGGTTTCAAAATTTTCCAAAAAGAGACTGATCTGATGGTGATGTGTAAATGAGAGGCTAAATCGCAACAAAAATGTTTYAGTTTCGYTAAAACCCAGCTCCGTGTGAAAGATCTTAATGGTGCATTATCACCACCAGWTAGATGTGTGGATCAGAACAGTCGTCTAAAAACAAAACCTGCCTGTACCCAGCTGACACTGCTGAACTGAGAGGTGAGCGYCACGCTGTGGTATGGGAACTGCACACGTACACAAAACAATACTCAATACTGGGACTGGAATCGATGTATCTTTAAAAATAAGTGTGTGCGATGGTCATGAAGAAAGTCTTAATTCACACTAATTTAAAAATACCGTCCTGGAAATGATTCCTACATGATGCAGTCAGATGTTCCTACAGTTTAAAGGAGTGTTTCTGTTAATCTGTCATCTTTTAAAATCTGGAGTTCAGTGTTAAACAATGATTTCTCTTTGTCACTTTTGTACCTGATTTATTTGTGGTGGATTTAAATTGTGTCCAGATGCTGAAGTGGTGCAAAGGACCTGCTGARGCTGATGTTTTTATTTTTGTGCCAACATGTAGTTTGCAAGTTCTGTGTAGYCTTTGTGAATCCAGGCCAGAGTTTGTATATCTTTGTATGTCCCCAGGACCCTGATCCATGGGGATCAAAAAGCTGGCTTCACAGTGTTCTGGGCTGATGACGGTCTGGACACCGGGCCCATCCTGCTGCAGAAAGAATGTGCCGTTGAGCCCAATGACACGGTGGACACGCTGTACAACCGATTCCTCTTTCCAGAGGGAATCAAATCTATGGTTAGCACTTGTGACATGATCTGAATGTTTGSCTAAAGACTGCCGACTGAGCTGTGACTTCTGCTGTAGGTGGAGGCAGTGCAGCTTATTGCTGATGGAAAGGCCCCTCGAATCCCCCAGACAGAAGAAGGAGCGAGTTATGAGGGGATTCAGAAGAAATCTAATGCCAGGGTAAGAGTGTCTTATTGAGGAAGACAGGTACTACCTAGGGCTGCAACGATTAATCGATTAATCGACGACTAATCGATTATTAAAATAATAGATGACTAATTTAATAATCGATTAATCGTTTTCTTTCTTTGTTTTTTATTTTACTCATTTTTTTTGTTTTTCTCTCCAAACTGCTTTGACACCTTCCACTGCCACATCTGCCTTTCTGTC